GAACAAAAAGATTTAAAAACTATTTACTTTTTCTTTAGAATTTCAATCCGATTTTTGCTAGAAATATATTATAGCAAAAAAGGATTAATATGGCATTTGAAAATGAAAAATAAATACGATAAACACATATATAAAGAAGACTAATATGATCTAGAATTTAATGGATAATATTCACAAGATCAAATATAGCTTTAAAATGATCCACTTTACAAATGAAAATCTCAAAGAATACTTATTGAAACGTAAGCGATCGCTAATTATTTTAACAAAATATAATAACGATTGCAGCTCAAGAGCCGTTCCAAATTCCCAGCCGTTGGGCATATTATTACTGATAGAAATAACCTAATATTGATATAACCTTCTTTTTAAAAAGTGATCACTATTGATATCTTACCTTGTCTTTTGAATTGACGTTGACTCCCTCGTCGAGAAGCTGCTCCATTCTGTTTTTATCTCCATTTTTTGCCGCTTCAAATAAAGTCGTGTATTTTGGGTCACGGGTCGACATGATTGATAGTACAGTATATATTGATCTATGAAAGAAAACTAACTTAGTATGAGTCGTCTAGCTAATCAATAAAGAAAGACTTCACACTACTAATGCTAGTATTAAAAAAGGCGTAGTGTATTGAACGGAAGAACAATCTGGAGAAATCGTATATTGACTGATCATTGTTGGCTTAGTGATCAGGATTATTTTGTTTATGTCTGTTTGTGGCTATGAAAACAYAGCAGTATTTCTGTACTTAAAGAGCTCATTTTTCGCACACCACAGGTCATTTATTTTTCATTTATTTTTGATGAAAAAGTGACTCACAACAGAGGTTTGTGTGTCCGTAGAGTTGTTCGTAAGGAAACTAATGATTTTCGTAAACTAAAATAATGGATTTTTTAAATGAAACGCTTAATTATTTGCATACAAGTATACTTATTTAATAAATATCCATAATGAATAATTACACAGCACTGATTGTTTGACGTTGTTGACCCGAAAATCAAGGAAAAATCACTTTCAAAAGCCGCGTCTCGTGCGAGTATAAGAAATCTTAACTCGTTTTCCTATCTTTATGAATGATTTCGACAAACAACAAAAAATTGAGTAAAAAAAAAAAAAAAACTTGCAGCAGTTTTATTTGAGTGGATACGACACTGACCTTATACTTTGTGTCCGCTTCGTTTTTGTATTTACTCGATTAATCTTTCATCTAAAGATAATCTCCTTTTCTCCTTAATAATCATCTGGAATCAGAAGAGAAAATCAAATGAACCAAACAGCTTGAAAAAAGCGTTCTTCGTAATGAAGTCGCCAACATGAGCGCTAGCCCAGTTTGTCACAAGGCCAGGCATTTGCTTGGACACCAAACGAAATTCTCCACCAATTACTCTGAAATTTGTACAATATATATACGACATTTATTTATAAAAAATTACCATTACATTAATACTATGTATGTACCATGCTTACCACGATAACCGGCACATCAGTTCGCTGTCTCTAGATCTAATGGCGCCGAAGTAATAGTCACACGCAGCAAAATTTAAAAATTGATTTCCAAAATTAAATCACTGGACGTATCATTTTATTCATCGTGCCGGTTACGCGCTAACTCTTTGTGCCCAAGTGATAATGAATCATTAATGAAGATAATTTGAACAGAGCCGACTTTTAATGAGTTCGTAAAAACAGAATTGACACATTTGCTAACCAATTCGTTAGTCGCAAACGGAAAAATTGATTCACGATGACCTTTTTACTGGCTACTTGTGGTGGTGGTGGTGGTGGTGGTGGTGGTGGTGGTGGTGGTGATGGTGGTGGTGATGATGAGTTAATGATGGTGGGGGTGGTGGTGGTGGGGTTGGGGGTGGTGGTGGAGGTGATGAAACGAAAAACAANCCCGCGCGCTACGCGCTTGGGCCATAAGGCAGTGGAAAAAACTCGGTCCATAACTTACGGTACGGACCTCGCACTCGGTTAATAAGAGCTATTTATTGAAATGGGTGTTTCTTTAAAAGAATGCGTCTGAGACTGGTGGTGATAGCCAGATGTCTCAGAGTACGAAAAACAGTTAGAGAGCACACTGTTCTACTGTTGCGCACAACATTGAATGCAAAATTGAATAAATTACCGCGTTGCTCGAATTGTTGCTCTAAACAACTAAAAGAACGAGCTAAGAGAAATAAAGTACGGAGCTACTTCAGGCTGCGAATTTTAGTTCTTAAATTACGTTGTGCACGCGTTAAACACCTGCCAATTAAATTTGACGCTTCTGTATAATATACTGTTTTCAAGAAATCTGCGACGTGGTGCATAGAGCGTTTTAACTCAGTCTCAAGATAGAGCCATATGTGTGTTCCTAACAAAAGAAACTAACAAAATTATTGCCAAAGCTGGTACACCAATATGGCGGCTGGGACGACATATCACTCACGTTTTCTGTTATCAGCAACAGAGCACATAACAGTTCCGCGGTGTGACCGAGCGTTACTCTGTTGAATAACATCGATTCCTTGTTGATGCAGGTCGTGCAGCATGGACTCAACACACTAGGGATGGTAAAGAACTTCCTGAGATAGCACGTGACGACAACTATGACTTTAACTTCCAGGTATGTAACGTACGAAACTGTAGATAGAGTAAACCTCTTGGGAATACGACAATGTACTGTATTGTACCTTTTTACCGTACGGAGGTAAAAAATAGAAGGAAAAATGCTATTTTCCCTAAACTTTGTATAGTCGTTCAACGCATCATGGACATTTCAAGTGCGCAATAAAAAACGGGAGGTGACCATTCTCGTTTTCATGCTACCTGATCTCAAGATGTGACAAAAGACGGCCTCGATTACGGATATGACAGTAATCCGAGGTCAAATAAAAATAGCACAATTCCAAATGCAATGCAAAATGTACGTGTTTTAAGCAACCTTTTAAAGGTAATCTTAATTACACTAGCTAAGCTAAGCATTTAATTATGTTTAAGTTATATTGTACAAATGCCTTATAGTTGAAATATGGAACTACGTGCGCTCTAGAGAGTCGTCCTGAGATCGAATCTTTCAGCTATTCTTACCAATAAATATATACCTTCGGGAAATATCATTTTTTCCATATTTCGTAGGTGGATGCTTTATGGTCTTGTAAGTCAATATGCGAAACAAAAAATGGGGTCACGAAATGTTCGAAAACTCACAATTTAGGTCGAGTTTTGCAAAAAAAAGCAAATTTTTGACTCAAAAAAAAAAGAGGACAAAGTGAAATTTAGATTAGAATAGAGAGGAAAGAAAGGAAAGAAAAGGAAAGAAACAAAACCAGAAGGAAAAGGAGACGGAGAAGTATAATTCTTGAAAAGGGTAACTTTCCTTTGGGGTTAAAACACACAGTCTGATCACTGGAAAAATTTATCGATTTGAGATGTTGGAAATATGTTGGAAGTTTCGACTTCCAACATATTTCCATACTATGGAAGTTAAAAAAACCATGGAAATATAATGGAAGTTAGCACTTCCATACCATGGAAGTCATGAAAGTGTACGCGCCATTTTCACGCTTGATTTCCATAGTATGGAAATATGATGGAAGTCACTTTAACACTATGGAAATACCTTGGAAGTCGCGACTTCCATCATATTTCTACTAACATCTCAAATCGATAGATTTTTCCAGTGTAAGGTCCATTCCATTGTAAAGTACGGAATGTATGTGCTACGGATTAAAATTTCGAGTTGATTTAAATCCCACGACGAGTCTTCGTTTAAAGCTGAATGTTTTAACGCACAACCGAGGCTAAGTCTCTTTAGCCTCGTCCCCAAGCTACTCATTGTCAGCTCTCCCAAATCTAAAATGGCAAACGCTTCAGAGGTAACACAAAGACAGTATGATCACGCTAACTTGGTGGTTAACGTGACGCCAAGTGCTTGTTGTATCATGTAGATAGGGAGCTAGTCCGCTAGCGGTTTAAGAGAATACTGCCGATATTAAACAAACATCAGTCAATACTGAACTTGCGTTATTCTCAGTGAGAATAATATCTAAAGCTGTCATAGCAACTCAGTCAAAATATCTAAAGTTGTCATAGCAACTCAGCAGTCCCGATCAGCGGTGTTTGTGACCGCTAGCGCTTTCTCGTGAGTTAAAAAACCCAGATAAACATAAATACGCCCCACTGAAGTGGAGAACGCACAAAAGGCATTTACAATCTAAGATGCGTGTGAGAAAGCCTTAAACTGACTAGGCGCCCGCGCAAAACTAACTATAAACGAAAGTGAAGAAAAGTCGTGAACAGCACGTTATAGATATTATCAATACACCAGAATTTTTGAATTTTTATCAATACACCATAAAGTTTGGTAAATTGTATTGTTCAAATATTCAGCAAGCCCAAAGTTCTATTCTATGATGGATAAAAACATACAAAAAGATAGCTAGCGCCGATTCTATATATGTTGGTTTATTGTTGCAAATTGCATTGTAATTGGCATTTAATTGTATACTCCTTGTCATGTGCATACCCACCTATACAAACCAACGTCCATAGGACCATCTCAAGGGATCTTCACAGACAATTCTACCCTGTCATGTGCATACCCAACTATCAAAACCAACGTCCATAGGACCATCTCAAGGGATCTTTACAGACAATTCTACCCTGTCATGTGCATACCCAGCTATCAAAACCAACGTCCATAGGATCATCTCAATTTAAAGGGATCTTTACAGACAATTCTACCCTGTCATGTGCATACCYAAGCTATCAAAACCAACGTCCGTAGGACCATCTCAATTTAAAGGGATCTTCACAGACAATTCTACCTTGTCATGTGCATACCCAGCTATCAAAACCAACGTCCATAGGACCATCTCAAGGGATCTTCACAGACAATTCTACCCTGTCATGTGCATACCCAGCTATCAAAACCCAACGTCCATAGCCGGACCATCTCAATTTAAAGGGATCTTTAAGGACAATTCTACCCTGTCATGTGCATACTCAGCTATCAAAACCAACGTCCATAGCCGGACCATCTCAATTTAAAGCGATCTTTAAGGAAAATTCTACCCTGTCATGTGCATACCCACCTATACAAACCAACGTCCATAGGACCTTCTCAAGGGATCTTTACAGACAATTCTACCCTGTCATGTGCAAACCCAGCTATCAAAAATAACGTCCATAGGATTATCTCAAGGAACTTAGTTTTACCTATGTTTTCTCGCTAATGAAATGGTTTGAACTCTGGTAAAGATCATTGCGTCGAAAGGGTTATTTTACGAAAGTTATCCCGCATCTAGCAACATATCAATCAGTCTTCGCAGTAAGATCAAAAGTATATGTCGTTCACATCAATAGCCGAAGTTTGAAACAGATTTTGATCTTTCCCATGTAAAATTCGTACTGAGACAAAATTTACTTATTAGTTAAGTTACATTCATGCATAAGATACGTTATATTTTGAGCAATTCCCACTAACCTCAATAGACATCATTCACGTTGCTCTCCACAGAACGTTTTCTCGAACTCACGTACACAACAGGTCTGTGCCAGATACAAAAAAAAGCATCATTACCACAAAATTAAGCAAGGAAAAAATAGTGACTAATTAGTGAGTTTATGAACGTGATATTTTCATATTTCAGACCATGTGTCATCTTCTCATGTAGCTCATTGATGTGTCTTCCGTTAAAGTACTTACTGGCCCAAGAGAAGACTAATAACTCATTTAAAGACATTTAGGCAAGTGACGTGTACGGGAAACATGCAGTCTAACTCTTGTTAGTGGAGAGATTTGCCGTAGTTCACCTTGATTCAACGTCAGTGGTCATCGTATCGACCTTCTGAAATTCAAAAAGAGCTCAATAGTACATTGCTCTGCAATGGTTCTCTCCTAGATCTTTTTTCCCATCAGACATTAAGAAACAAATCTAAAGATATCTAGTCCTAGCATATCACGTAGATATTGACGTGAGGATCCACAACGCATGTGTATATTATAATATTAGCACTTGGTGCCTTAGCCCCCCTACTGGAGTTCAAAATAACCTTTAAATCAGAAACTCTGGCTTCTAAAGCTCTTTCTGCTCTTTGAACTTGGGCACTTTCAGAGTTAGATAAACTGCCCCCATCGTGTAAGTCAGTCAACAATCCACAAGTCAAATATGGTTTCTAAAATCGTTTTTTGAGGTTTAGAAGATTAAAGCACTAATCTTTAAATAACAGTTAGATTACATCAACCTTGGCACACAGCCTTTGAACATCAAATTCTTACTCTAATGGATAACTTAGCAGAGTTTTTCTAACGGTTAACACCTTTGATAAAACCAAGACAAACCACGATGAAAAGATTTTTTTAAATGGAAAAGCATGTTTCTCATCAGTTCTGTGTAAAAAAGGGTTAAAATTGAAATTAAAAAAATATATAATAATAGTAATAAAATGTCCTATGTAAACGGGTGTTAATGACCTTGTTGTAAGGGATATTAGCCCTTAGGCACTGTGGTACTGTAGCAATCAACACAGGTTCTATTATCTTTTTACGACTCATATAGTCTATCGATGTACCAGC